CGCTATAAACCCATTTTGATTAATTTGAGTAAAAATGTGTTTTCTTTACCAAGAAAGTGGCACGATGAAAACCACTATTTTCTGTTTCAAACTTTCACATAGCATCTTTAGGTTATAATAACATAAAAAATTCAAATCCAGATTTTGATTTTCAAAGATTTATTATAAAATTGTATAATTTTTTTCGTATAATGCAATAAATCAATGACACGTTTTTTTTTTTTCCAAAATGCAATAAATCCATTGAATCAATATAAAAGTTATTTTTCGTATTGAAACTGTTGAAAATACACAACATAGTAAGTTGATCCACATATGACAGACTCTGAACTTCATCAATACTAATCTTATATGCAGGCACTGGACTAAAAATACATTCAATCAGTCATCGCTCCAAAAAGAATTCAACGGGTTATCTTGTTAATGCTATAAATTAATTACAACAATAAAATAAAATTTCATCATGAACATACATGAACAACAATATCACATTAAACCACAGAAATTCCAAAATGACATTTCCCTTACATTCAACTTCCAAAAGTGCATTCATCTTTGCCATGTTACATTCATTTAGTTGACTAGTGCTATACGCTGTATTAACAAAAACATAAATGGCATTAATAAAAACACGTACACTGACAAGCTACTCAATATCGCATTCATAATCACGAGATGCGCATGACAATCACATGCGATTTATCGTGCAGCCCTAATTTGTTTGTTTGTTGATCACAAAGTACAAAATAGATGAGTCAAACTAGGATGCCGGATGTATTCAAAGCGCCGCCAATACTGTCTAGAGTGCGTGGAATGGTGTGCTGTGATTGGTTGTTACTATTTACAGTGCGTGGAATGGTGCGTTGTGATTGGTTGAGCGGATATATCGCATTCTGCAGAGAAGGGAGACTGGCGTTTGTCACGGTTTAGAAAGAAAGGGAGAAAACATGACAGAGTAACTCGGCGGATATCACATTTTGCGTAAAATTAAAAATTGACTTTTCAATACCGACCAGATACAATACCGATTTAGGCGGAAACTCAATTTTTTTTTTAATAGCGTTTATCGCGTTTCGGAACCATACTCTTCATATGTACTTTTACTACGGTATTTTGACAAACTATTGTTACCATGGAGAAATAATTAAACATTTATGCTGTCAATGGATTAATCACGATTAATCGCATCCAAAATAAAAGTTTTAGTTTACATAATATA